GCCATTGATGAAGTTACCACTAGAGCTGTGGTTTCGATACTTAGCGGTTATGTTGGGAGGTATGTGAAGGATGAGGGTTTTCGGGAAACAATCCGCGAAAAGTGCAGGGCTTGCTTGGTGAGAAAGAAAAAGGATCTGGATAATGGGATGTTGGGAAACTTGGAACTGGGTATTGAAAGTGTTGATAAGTTGGTGGAAGATCAATGGTCGGAAAGTATGGAAGTTAGGACGAAAAAAGTGAAGAATACGATTCGGGTTTTGAACGTTGTTGGTTCCTCAAAATCTAGCAATTCTCATCTCTCTGCTTGTGCTCAACTCTACTTGTCGATCGTTCACAAGATTGAGAAAAATGACCGGCTTTCGGCGAGGCAATTGCTTCAAGTGTTCTGTGATTCAGCGAGTTTGGCAAGAACACATTTTCTTCCTGATCTTTGGGAGCATTTCTTTCTTCCACATCTTTTACATGTGAAGATTTGGTATGCCAGGGAAATGGATGTTCTTTCGAGCTCAGAGGACGGCGAGAAGGAGAAGAAAATGAAAGCCGTGGCAAGAGCGTACGATGAACAAATGGATATGGGAACTACAAGGTTTGCTTTGTACTACAAAGAGTGGCTTCAAGTTGGAGCTGAGGCCCGTCCTGTTCCTCCTACTATACCTTTGCCTTCTTCGATACGCAGTTGCAGATCATCAAGAAGGAGATCATCGGATTCTTACACTTCACATTCCTCGCTCAACAAAAATTTGTAAGTAGTACTAATATATGAAAACATTTTAATCACTTTTGCAAAACATTTTGAAAGGATATTTGATTTGTAGTTTGTGCTGTAATTGTGTATCTTGTTTGATGGCTTCGGAAATCACTGAAGATACCACGCTGTGTTTGGCCCCGCGCTTGAGCGAAAATCTGTGGAGCTCAATCATCGAAATGGAGTTTTGAACGATACTTGGGGTCTAGATGAGGTGGAAAAGTTGTGTGTAGATGAAGATGATTACAACCATCTCGGTTATGTTCATGTGAGTGAATCTGTCTTCATCTCAGTTCTTTACTACATTCATTTTTCGTAAGTAATTGAATGTTGCAGGGAGAATTCACATTGTCACCGTTTTCTGGTTTTGTCAGAGTGGAGAAAGGTCTAGTCGGAGAAGGTCATCAAGCGAAAATCATAGAAATCCAGTAATCGCGCTATGGCCTGAGTCGGAGGCACAGAAGACGGGCCATTTTGGATTCTTTAGATGCCAGAATGCACCAACAGAATGCTTGGTGAACAAGAACCTCATGGTCAAGAACAATTCAATCCGTAACCAAGATAACTCCCATCTTCCACCTCTAAGCAACTTAAGCCGGGCTATTAGCACTATCTACTCCTCCGATAATCTAAGCGATTGCGAAAGTGCAATTCGTGTGATTACCAAGGCTTGGTTGGACTCCCATGGTGATCCTGTCATTGAGGTTGAGCTATCAAAGCCACCTGTTATTCAGGGAATGCTGGAGGTGTTGTTTGTTTCTAGTAATGACGAAATTTTGGAATTAGTAATCTCGGTTTTAGCTGAATTTGTAGCGAGAAACAAGATGATTAGACATATCATACTGAACTCGGATCCACAGCTTGAGTTTCTTATGAGACTTCTAAAAAGCAGTGGTCTATTTTTGAAAGCTGCAATTCTGCTTTACTTGTTGAAGCCAAAGGCAAAACAGATGATATCTGTCGGATGGGTGGCACTAGTCCTTCGAGTACTAGAGTTTGGAGATCAGTTGCAGACGCTATTCACAGTTCGTTGCAGTCCTCAAGTGGCGGCGTTGTACCTTTTAGACCAGCTTCTTACTGGTTTTGATGAAGACCGAAACTTGGAGAATGCAAGAGAGGTAGTTTCTCTTGGAGGGTTGAGCCTTCTGGTGACAAAAATCGAGAGAGGGGAAACTCGTGAGAGGAACAACGTTGCTTCAGTCATTGCACGTTGTGTTCGAGCTGATGGAAGCTGTCGAAACTACTTGGCTGATTTTCTCAACAAGGCTTCTCTTCTTGAACTCATTGTACTTGGAAATGGTACTGGCTCCGCATTCGCTTTGTTGATCGAAATACTATGCCTTAGTAGGTATGGATTTGTTTTGAACTCTTTTCATTTTTCTTGTACGTTTTATATGATCTTTTCACATTTTGATCAACTGAATGATTCTTCGCAGACGAACAAAAATCACTGAAATCCTAAATGGACTGAAAGAAGGATCCGGCGGCGTTAACACAATGCAGATTTTGTTGGTCTATCTGCAGAGAGCTCCACTTGAAGAACGCCCGTTGATTGCAGTCGTTTTACTTCAGCTTGATCTTATGGTAAATCCGTCCTTCGTGATTACGCAACTTTCTCGTAGAAATTGTAAAATCTTTCTAAACTCATTTCAACTTCTGGCAACCAAACTGTTCAGATAAGTACTTAAATCTTTGCCCTAGGGTTTTATATATATCTTGAATAGTTCCCATATGGAGTAGCAGTTTTGTTGCAGGGAGACCCTTTCAGGAGCAGTGTATATAGAGAAGAAGCCATTGAAGCAATCATAGAAGCTTTAAGCAGTCGAACATGCAGCAAAAAAGTCCAGCAACGATCGTCAAGAGCTCTCTTAATGTTGGGAGGCCGGTTTTCTAACACCGGCGAGGCATCAACAGAACAGGGGCTTTTACAACAAGCCGGTTACAGTCATTGGCCAAGAAATTCATTTCACTTCAAAGAAAATGTTGTGGATGGTTTTGCGCACTCGGTAAGCTTTCTACTACCCCAAACCAGCTGAAATTTTTCGAAAAACAAACAAATAATGGCACCATTTTTATGTGATCCGAAAAATCAGAACGAAGACGAAGCAGCAACGGAAAATTGGCAAAGGAAAACAGCCACTGTTTTGTTAAAAAACGGCAACAGGAAACTACTCGTGGCCCTTTCGGATTCCATGGCGAATGGCATCCCGAGTTTAGCGCGATCGAGCCTTGTGACGGTGTCGTGGATGAGTAGGTTTGTCGATGCAGTCGGAGATGAAGATTTAGGGTCCATGGCATGCTCGGTTCTTGTGCCTCAGCTGCTAGAATCACTGAATTATGACAGAGATGTGGAGGAAAGAGTGCTTGCTTCATATACATTGCTGAATCTAGCAAAAAGTTCAGGTATGTCTTTCCAAAATTAAAGTTAAATAATAGAAACTTCAACGAAAAACTCCTGATACTGTTCATTTTAACGAAAAACTACATTTTTACATTAAAAAGTCAATTCTGGTATTATTCACTTTACCTTTTATTTTGTCCTTATCATTAAACATCTAAGTTTTCAACCCATTTTCATTAGTTTTCCTTTAAATAATTTGATTAATTAATTAATTTATTTGTGTCGTGAAAAATTTCAGTTCATCAAAACGTCCCTATGCTATCATCAGTGGGCAAAGAGTTGCTTAGGAAACTTCAGAACCTGTCCTTAGTGACATGGACGGCTAATGAGCTTATTTCAATCATCACAAGCAACTAAAGGCATCACTGTGAGGGGGATTCTTACACGTTAGCGGAGGTCATACGATGAGTGTTGTAATCATGCAAGGATATACTCTCGGTGACGCCCAAGTCTTTCTCCACCGTGAGACCTAAATTTGTTCCAAATTAGTGAAACTTCCTTGGAGGCAGTTTCATTTTTTCTTTGTTGGCGTGTGTATGTGCGTTCACATGTTTGTTTGTAATGGTTCTCTTTCTTCCAAAAATGGCTATTTTTGTATAGTGCAGCATATTTGAGGGGTAAAAGATTATTTATCCAACCAAAAAATTATGAGCACAGAGCCTGTTCAATCCACTTATATACAGACAATGTTACAAACGCAAGAATTTAACCCAAACTGTCACCAAAGGCAAGTACCATCAATCCACTTATATACAGACGTTCTGGTGCAAAAATAAGGAAAACTAACGAAAAGTAAAAAAAAAACTTCCCTTTTAATGAAAAACCCTTTTTAAAGGGACAGTGAATAGTACCAGGGAAATGTATAAATGTGGTTTTTCATTAAAAATGAACAGTATCAGGAGTGTTTTATTAAAACTCCAGCAAAAATATCTCCCAAACAAGTAACAAAAACGACCAACATCCCAATCTCAAAGTTTGAACCTGCCATGTCCACATATACCCAAAACCTTTCACTCACCACCCAAATACCTCAAATCCCACAATGATTAAAGAATTTGGGCCACCACCCAGAATGACCTGTCATGCCAATCCGCTCAAAGAAATCTATCACAAACAAGTGCAACCAATGACAGAAGTAACTTCCAGACTCGTGCACTTGTTGATAAGTTTGCACAAATAGAAACAGAACTAGAATCTACCCCCTAATCAACAAATATATCCAAATTTAGTCCCTGATCATGACATGTTTCTCTCCCATTGTCCTTATACATAATAAAAGGGGAATCTCTCCAGTAGAAACAAGAAATCCATTCCAAGTTTATATGTCTGCAGATGACCTGCACATTTTTGTGGTCCTAACAGAGCCCCAAGAATTGGCCAACCATCACATGCCAGGAATCTAAGGAAACTAGGGAAAGGACCACAAGTCTAGAGGGAGAGCCATAAACTTTTAGATATATTGTCTTTCGATGCAAAGGTAATTACAAATTTTGTAGACACATAGGCAAGTGATTTCTACACCACTTTTTTCTCCACCTACACACCCTTGTAGATTTTTAGCATTCGGATAGAAATAATCAAAGAAGAATCAAGGAAAACAAGTAGACAGGAGTGCAGGAATTATTTCCCAACATGTATTGTATTTGTAAATAATCCAAAAATCGCCCCAACAGTGTATTTCCTTCCTATTTATAAACTCTACACAGACCTAAAACTTGCAGCATTCATTTTATGAGCAGAAAGAACGACAGTAAAGACAACGGTGTCTGGAGCCTACTTCTAATTTAAACCTTCTGTGTTTTGTACCATTTCGACTCGATTCATACATATCACACACAAGAAAGAAACACAAGTGCTCAAAACGATTTGGAACCACTAAAGAACACACAAGATCTAACATACTAACTACAATGAAAATGCTTAACATACCATTTCGATTAAAAAAACCATTAGATTCACACACAAACCCTTTTTCAGGAAGTTGGAATTGCATCCTGGTTTGCCAACTTACAGAACCATATCCGTCCTGTTCCACAAAAAAAAAATAGATCATGGGAACGAGCTTCGACCTTCATATGAAAAACATTATGTTTTCCAGGTCAGCATGCAATTTATAAAACTTATCATCTAGAGAAGCCACTGAGTGTGGTGACGATGCCAATGCTGCTGCTGCTGATGATGATGAGGAATAGTAGGAGGAGGAAGATACTGAATCTCGAGACTGTCGCTCGATACTCTCATGGTATAACCGCCCTCTATATGCAACAAGGTCAGCATAGTATACCGGTGGTACCAAAGCTACAGGTTTAGTACACCTTGCTAAGGTGAAGCATAAGTCATAAATGAGCTTCTGCAATTGGTCAGAGGTAAACCTATGCTCATCCCAAAGAACATAGTAGTGTGTGGGTTTGCTTGTTCCGAGGGATCCATAATGACTGCAAAGATAAAAGTCAAACTCAAACGGGTGCACGATTGTTGTATCCACAACAGTTCCCGGTAACACATTGCATGTTGGACTCCCATCCTTCACATTCTCTAGAAACAAACGAGTATGGTGCCGCTTTTGGGCAACAACAAGTGTTATGGTAGGATAGTATTTTTTACATCCGAAAGCCCTCTTCATATCTAGTAACTCTTCATTTAGAACCATATCAAACTGGCCCTCACTGACTCCATCACGGAAGACAACAATTCTGTCTGGCTTGACTTTATTCAATCGCTCATAAGTTTCAACAAGCTCCAGGCACATGTCTCCAAAACTCAATATCCTTTCGCTACGGTGTTGCTGGGGTCGAACTCGTGCAGCATAACGATTCAAAGCAGGCCAGTTTACAGTGGCAACAACAGCCGCAATTGATGGACTTTTTTTGTTTTGCGCAGCAGGATGATTGACATCGGCCCCCATAAACATAACATGGCCTGCACCCCCAAAGAGGGGGAGCCGATCAATTAGCTCTACATTACTACCTCCAAGCTTTGCATTAATCTTAAGTGCAAGGTTTCCAAGATACTTTTCATTTGCTTTGTTGGCCATATTTGACAAGCAGCACTGTGTCACTATACCAATTTGAGTCTCGGAGATCCACTTCAGATACTTGTAACCAGGATCTCTTCTAGGCATTACACAAATAATTAATTGCAAGTAGCCTTTTCCTTTCTTGTGTACCTCTTCATTAACACTTTCAAGTACCTGGCGAAGCATCTGAACACTAGAGAAGGGTCTCATTGTAGTGCCTTGGTATGAAAGAGGCTCTTCCATTCTGATTCCCAGCTCATTGCACCGATTGATGAGCTTTGGGATGAAGCCGTGGTTCAGTACAAATCGATCATGACAGGTGAAGTCAAGTAAAGCCCAGCGATTGATTGGTTTTCCTTCCATTACAGACTTTCCAATCAGATTCCAGTTGCATTTCTCTCTGTCAACGGTTACCTTATTCACCTTGCCATCAGAAGCACCGAACTTCAATTCTGGTGGGCCAATGACACGCCCTGTTACTGGTGTCATATTCTTGTTAATTTCAATTCCAAAATTTTCAATTATGCCACCACTGCCAATAACACAGGATCATACTTAATAATGACAGCAGTTTTTATACAGGATTACTTTACTGAAAATGGTTATAACTATCGCCATATATATAAGAATCAAACAGAATACTGGTTTCAACCTTCAGAGAAACCAACTGCCTGCTAACTGTGCAAGTTTAGCAAAATCGGACTCACAAACCACAAGAGAGAACATAAATTTACTTACCCACAGGGTCCATCATCAGATTGTATAATGTCGCATATCTTCCTCTGCCTATCACGCGGTTGAGCCAATGACCTACTCCTCAACATCATGGCTGCTTCTGTCCAAGCGCTCCTTTGAATACTTTTGCCCCTCAGCTAACACACAGAACTCCATAGGTGTATCGTTCCTTCTACCATTTTTCCCCAAATCCAAGCAAGGAATGTCTTTATACTGGATTCCCTTGTATCTTTCCCTGAAATAATCGACAAGTCTAACTTTCCTTGGCGGAAACTGGCCATCTATGTCTACATCATAAAATGTAATATCTCCTGCATTCTTATCAGTCAGCCCCTTGATGATGTACTTTTGCTTGGTTTTACGGTGCATCACAGTTACTTTCAGTCCTCTCAACACACGCTCAACCTCTCTCCTAAACCTCTCGAAATTATTTAAAGTAAAACCCGTAATCTGCTCTTGGAGAAAATCTATAACTGGCAAGCGCTTATAAAATGCCAGGACTGAGTAGTCAAGACACAGGGAAGGACCTTGGGAAGTGAGCCTTACAGAATCTTGAAACCCTCTAGATGCAGAAATACCATGTCCAAGGTCATCGTTTAGACTAGTATCCACAGGGTAATAGTTTCGCCCAACAGCAATCAAGCGCCTACTTGGATTCTCTTTCATCACCAAATCCATACCGTGTAATATATCACGAGGGATAGACAATAGGTGGCCACTCATGTACTCCTTCAACTTGCAAAGCTTGAGCTCGTTTACTAACTTTATAGTAAATATGTATGTAGTAAACCGCGTGTCTTCTTCATCAGGAACCTCTACCTTAAATGATCCAGTGGGCAACCGCACTGCACTGAAGATGTTCTTTTCACCATCGTATGCAGTACTTGACAATGGAAAGTCCGTAGGTTTATCAGAGGATAGCTTCTTCCTGATTGCAGAGAGCTCAGACTTGGAAATTTTCATATGATTAGGAGCAGGGGTCTCTGATTTGACATCAACACCGTAGTGCATTATGATACTCTCAGGATTGAACGAGATATTAAAATGATTAGAACGAAGCATAACAGTTTGGATAGCTTTTGTGCCTCCGTTGTCTGGCCGTTTTGCTGAGAGATTCTTGTCTGCATTGCCCGAAGAAGATGAAGGAGGCGTCTGTTTCGAAATTTCCAGAGATCGCAATCGAGGAACAAAAGTATCTATTTAGAAAAATAAACAAAACATTAGGTGTTATCCTCAGTGGTGACTGTTTATGCAAACTAAAAAATGCTAGACTACTAAAGTCGTACCCAGTGCACAAGGCTCCCGCTTTAAGCAGGGTCTGGGAGAGGTGAATGTTGGCTAGCCTTACCCCCATTTATGGAGAGGATGCTCCCAAGTCTCGAACCCGAGACCTACCGCTCATGGGCGGAGGCACTTGCCATCGCACCAAGTCTCGAACCCTAGACTACTGAAACGCATTTTTTCCTCTGTGAACATATTTATGCAAAAACTCAGTAAAACCAACCAAATGACCAGTTCAATGTTCGGAAGTGCCTTTAAATTTTTTTTGACAAAATTTGGAAGAAAAAACTTGTTATAAAAACGCTTTTGAGTTGCAAAAGCACTTGGAAACGCTTCAAAAGCAATTGGATTTTTATTAAGGAAAACTAATAAAAAGGGCTTGAAAACTTTGAGTTTTAATGATAAGGACAAAATAAAGGGTAAAGTGAATAGTACCAGGATTGACTTTTTAGTGTAAAAATGTGGTTTTTCATTAAAGTGAACAGTATCATGTGCTTTTCGTTAAAGTTCCCTTTTTTTTAGTGGGCTAAACCTCACAATGGGCAAGCCACAGTAATTTAGTTTGAATTCATCTTTAGAGAAAATCAAACTTAAAACCTCTCACTCACTAGTACTAAGTGGCCAAAAGAAATTGGATTTATATCAAAAAATTTAACGTACTTCTAATAAAAACGATTCTAGTAAAAGCTCTTATGAGATAAAGTGCTTTCTTGAGAAGCGATTGCAAACAGGCTTATTGTAATCACTATATAAACATTATATCACCACATTCTCATTATATACATACAAGTGTAACACATACAAACTCAAACAGGAAAACCTAATCAGATTAAAATTAGGGATTAAAAAAAATGCAATTAGTTCTCGAGGATCCATACCAGGAGGAGGAGGGGAAGTAGGAGGAGAGTTCGCTAGGGCTGGAGATGCAGGGGTGGGCGCTGTGGACACCCACGCTCTGTTGGGCCTACCGCTCCATGGAGAAGGTCTCCCCGGACGGCCCCACTTGTTATCATGCTGCTCCTGCGGTGGTTGTTGACGGTGGTACTGGGACCCTCTACCACCACCACCCCTGGAACCACCATAACTTCCCCAACCGCCTCTTCCTATCTCTTTGTCTCCTCCACTCCCTCTTTCATCGCCGTCACTGTCTCTCCATCTTCCTTTTCGCCATTCGCCGCCGCCGCTGCTTTCCATTGGAAAAATCGGGAGCGAACTCAAAAAATCGAGAGAAAAGTGGCCTCAAATTTCACTCCTTTCTTCTTTTTCTTCTTATATGCGAGGGTGCAGATTGAATGACCATCTTGCCCTTGCTCGATTGCCTTGGTCGCGAAGGGTCAACCGCCGAGAAGACCGTTGGTAGTGGAAGCCGAAAAGTTCGGGCTTTTGGTGGGAAACCCAGTAGCTTTGGTGTTAATCCCCATTTTACCCCAAACTTGATTTTAAAAAAAGAAAGAAAACTAATAAAAAAATGTTTGAAATTTTTGAGTTTTAATTTTAAGGATAAAATAAATGATAAAGTAAATAGTACTAGGATTGACATTTTTAGTGTAAAAATGTGATTTTTCGTTAAAATGAACGGTACTAAGAATTTTTCGTTAAAATTTCCTTAAAAAAATCATCTTAAATAAATGAGAATAATATTGTCTCCAAAAAAAAAAAAAAAAAAACTCTTTCTCAATTCAATTACTCGTACTTGTGTATGCACTTCAAAACATCATTGATATCGATCGATTGTAGCTAGAAACAAGTGAGAATTAAAAAAAGAACATTTTTCTTTCGCGATTCTAATATTATACGTAAATAATACAGGTAAAAAAATAACATAAATTAAAAGGAAATTCATGTAACCAAAGCACGACGTTAACAAATAGATTAACTTTCCATTCCCACAAATATACATGTCATCCAACATTCTTACATTCACAACTTTAAAATGATATATGAGACCCACATTCATAACAAGGACTTACCACTGTTTTAGATCCACAAAATGATTCGAAACGACATGTGAGCACAGAACGTATGAAGTAGAGAAAACGCTAAACATAACATTACGACACAGAAACCCATTAGATTCACGCACAAACTCCTTTTCAGCAGGTACAAAAAAGAGACTGCGGGATCATGCTTTGGCCTTCACACGAAAAACATTATGTTTTCCAAGTCAGCGTGCAGTTTGCAGAACCTTTCATCAAGAGAAGCCGCTGACAGCGGTGAATGTGTCGAGGAGGAGGACGAGGAGGAGGATACTGAAGCTGGAGACTGTCCCTCCGTACTCTCGTAGTATAATCGCCCCCTATATGCCACGAGGTCGGCATAGTACACCGGTGGGATCAATGATACAGGTTTTGTACATCTTGCAAAGGTGAAGCACAAGTCATATATAAGCTTCTGTAATTGATCTGAGGTAAACCGATGCTCGTCCCAAAGAACATGGTAGTGTGTGGGTTTGCTTGTTCCAAGGGCTCCGTAATGACTGCAAAGATAGAAGTCAAACTCAAACGGGTGCACGATTGTTGTGTCCACAACAGTTCCCGGTGATATATTGCCTGCGGAACCCCCATCCCTTGGATTCTCCAGAAACAGACGAGTATGGTGCCGCTTCTGGGCAACAATAAGTGTGATGGTTGGATGGTATTTTATACTTTCAAAAGCCATCTTCAGATCTAGCAACTCTTCGTTGAGAACCATATCAAACTGGCCCTCACTGACTCCATCACGGAAGATAATAATTTTCTCTGGCTTGACTTTATTCAATCGCTCATAAGATTCAACAAGCTCCAGACACATGTCTCCAAATTTCATTATCTTCTCCACACGATGGTACTGGGATCGAACTCGTGCAGCATAACGATTCGCAGCAGGCCAGTTTACAGTGGCAACAACTGCTGCAATTGATGGACTTGTTGTGTTTCGCGCGGCAGGATGATTGACATCAGCCCCCACAAACATAACATGGCCTGCACCCCCTACAAGGGGGAGCCGATCATTTAGCTCTACATTACTGCCTCCAAGCTTGGCATTGATCTTGAGTGCAAGATTTGCAAGGTACTGGTCATTTGCTTTGTTGGCCATATTTGACAAGCAGCACTGCGTCACTATACCAATTTGAGTCTCAGCAATCCACTTCAGATGCTTGTAACCAGGGTCTCTTTTAGACATTACACAAACAAGTAACTGCAAGTAGCCATTGCCTTCTTTTTTTGCCTTTTCATAGACGCTTTCAAGCAGTGGACGAAGCATCTGAACACTAGAGAATGGCCTCATTGAAGTGGTTTCATACAAAACAGGTTCTCCCATTCTGATTCCCAGTCTGTTGCACCGAGCGATGAGCTTTGAGATGAACTGGTTAGGGTCCAGTTTGAAACGATCAGAACTGCTGAAGTCAAGCACGGCCCAGCACTTGATTGGTTTTCCTTCCACAAGAGTCTTCCCAACCAGATTCCATTGACATTTCTCTCTGTCAACAGTCACCTTAATCACCTTGCCATCAGAAGCACCCAACTTCAACTCAGGTGGGACAATCACACGCCCTGTCACTGGTGTCAGATTCTGGTTGACCTCAAATCCAAAATTTTGAATGATGCCACCACTGCCAACAACAAAATAATCAGGATCTTAATCACTGCCGAATTAAGTTACTCAAAAAGGTTATGACTATTGCCATATTATAAGCATTGCTCATGTAAAAAGATGTTTATGATTCTATATGCTTAGATTTCCCTAAAACAGAATAAGAGTTCGCACTTCTCACTTTCAGAGAAGCAACTACGTACTAACTAAAATCATCTACACTAGTACAAAATCTTCCATGCACGAGGAATACTGAATTCACGAAAATTCAAATGAACAGTAGAAGGGGATTAAAGTCTAATTTACTAGAAAAACGAGGGACAGAAATTCACTTACCCGGAAGGTCCATCATTTGATCGTACCATGTTGGATATCATGTTCTGTCTGTCTCTTGGTGAAGGCAATGAGATGTTCTTCAGCATGACGGCTGCTTCTTTCCCCAAATACTCCTTTGGATACCTTTGCCCCTCAACTAAGACACAGAACTCCATTGGTGTATCATTCCTTTTACCATTTTTCCCTAAATCCAAGCAGGGAATGTTTTTGTACTGTATCTCTCTGTATTTGTCCCTGAAATAATCAGGAAGTCTAACTTTCCTTGGTGGACTCTGGCCATCTATGTCTACAGCATCAAATGTAATTTCTCCTGCATTCTTATCAGTCAGCCCCATGATGACGTACGTTTGCTTGGTTTTCCGGTGAGTCACAGTAACTTTCAATCCCTTCAATGCATCCTCAACCTCTCTCCTAAACCTCTTGAAATCATTTAATGTAAAACCCCTTATCTGCTCTTGGAGAAATTCTGTAACTGACATGCGCTTATGAAATGCCAAGACTGAGTAATCGAGACACAAGGTAGGACCCTGGGATGTGAGCTTCAAGCTATGCTGAAAACCTCTGAAGGCAGCAACACCATATCCAAGGTCATCGTTTGGATCAAATTCAGTAGGGTAAAAGTTTCGCCCAACAGCTATCATGCGTCTAGCTGGATTCTCTTTCATAACCAAATCCATACTCTGCAATATATTACGAGGGATATCCAACAGCTGACCGCTTAGGTACTCCTTCAACTTGCGAAGCTGGAGCTCCTTCGCAAGCTTTATAGTAAAAATGTACGAACTGAACCGTGTGCCTTCTTCCTCAGGAATCTCCACCTTAAATGATCCAGTGGGCAACGGCACTGCACTGAAAATGTTCTTTTCACCATCATATGCGGTACTTAACAAGGGAAATTTCGAAGGATCATCAGAGAATAACTTGTTCCTGATTGCAGAAAGTTCAGACTTTGATATCTTCACAGGAAGGCCATTCTTAGCAGGGTGTTCCGGTTTAACATCAACATCATAGTGCATTATAATACTTTCAGGATTGAACGAGAGATTAAAATGATTAGCGCGAAGCCTAGCAGTTCGGATAGCTTTTGTGCCCCCATTATCAGGCCGTTTTACTTGGACAAGATTGGCCGCCTTGTCTAAAGAAGATGAAGCAGGTGCCTGTCTTGAAATTGCCATTGATTGCATTGCCGGAACAAGATTATCTGTGCAGAAAACATAACAAACAAAAGGTATATCACCAACAAATTATTCATGCAAATTCAAATAACTGGACTAACCGCAGGAAAAGACCCGCAGAACAAAATGCAGAGTCAGTAAGCCAAAACTGCCCAACTCTGACAAACAATTTTTCCACTCATACAAAACAATTTGCTTCCGAAAACCGGACTCCAAATCAAATTGTCTATCCAATGTATATAGCAAAGATGGAACATTTCTAGTAAAAATCAATCAAATGCTCGAACCAAACGTGCGGCAAAACCGCTCCCTACTGGGTCAGTTGAATCGAAGTAGATAAGCAACAAGCATACAATTTATCACCACAGCATTATATGTCATAACATACACTACACATACCAGTGAAAAACCCAAACAGAAACTAAATCAGATCAAAATTGCAGTGGCTTACTCTCCAAATTAACTATGCTTCGTAGTCTACCATCACAGTTACCAATTACTTACAATTGTATCTGAAAAAGGACCTCGAATGAAAAGAAAGAAGAAAAACTCATACCAGGAGCAGGAGAGATGTTCGGGGCCGGTCCGGCCGGAGATGGAGGCGGAGCAGGCGCTCTGGGGCCCCATATTCTGGCAGGAGCGGGACTATTCCATGGATTAGGCCTCGCTTGCTGACTCCGATTCTGATTCGGCTGTCGTTGCTGCTGTTGCTGCTGTTGTGGCTGATGGTGGTGGAACTGTGGCCCGCCACCATGACCGCCTCTTCCTCTCTCTCCTCCACCTCCTCCACCTCTCCCTCTATTTCCTCTGCCATACCCGCCTTGATCACCCCTTCCACCACCACCACCATCACTGCCTCTCCCTCTTCCCATTCCCCTTCCTCTGTATCCACCGCTACCGCCGCCTCTTTCCATTGGAGGAATCGGGAGCAAAGGCACAAATCAACGAGAAAACTCGACTCAAATTCCTCCTCGCTTTCTTCTACTCTCTCTCTCTCTCAAAATCCACAAAAACAAACGGATGAGAAGTTGGTCCATCTCATATGCGCGGGGAGTGACCGAAATGACGTTATTACCCTCGCGGGGATTGTCGCGCAAGTCAATCACGAGGAAGACGTGTAGTGTAGCCGGGAGAGGGTTGGAAAGACGAAATGTCCGGGCGCTTTTGTGTTTTGGGGGGAAAAAATCCAGAAGCTTCGATGGAACGACGGTGGGTCCCGCGTTTTGCAAAAGAGAAAGGAATGGATTTGGATCCTCTCCTGAGTCAATGGAGAGAATCTTCCTTACCAAGTATTGTAGATCGTTGAATTTTCATCTAACGAAAATCCTTTATTTGTAACATTTGGATAAAAATCCAACGATTTATAATGCTTGGTCAGGAACATCCTCTCTATTGGCTCAGGATCCAAATCCGAAAGGGTTGAGGACAAGCGTGAGGAATCTAACGGACGGACTATTTGATGACATGTTCTGTTTCGTTCCTTCTCGCCAATCGTCATCTCTCTCTCTCTCTCTCTCTCTCTTTTTTATTTTTAAATTTCTTGTTTTTAACGAAACATGTGCTTAAAATTCACATTTTTTTAATTCTTGATATTCAACTTGCGTTTCGCTTTCTTTTAGTGTCAAAATTCGTTAATAAATATATTAAATTATTTACCTGACACGAATAAAATATAATATTGCTAAGATGTGAGCCATGTGTGAAAATGAAAATGAATTGAATTTTAGGAGACATAGATGTAATTATGGCATTAATCAATCATTATTATTTAATGAATTTTTCAAATCAAACAATTGACATATCATGCGTGACAAGAAAAAAAATATTTGACAAATTATTACCCTCCTTTAATTCGCTATAAATTTGATCTTACTCTATAATCTATCTATATTATAATCTTATCAGAGTTATAAGTTAAGAAATTTAAATATAAGTGTCGAGGTTTATACTGTTTAAACCAATTTGACTATTTTAAGATATCAGTAGTAGTTCTTCTTTGGAAACACCTTTAACTACCGGCACTAGAGAGCTTGAAAAGGTGATTGTAAATGCTCTCGTGCTTGCTGTCTAGCAAACCTACAAGGATGTCCGTGTCAAAGGAGACTTCAAATTAACTATTCATTGCATTTTTTTTGAAAGGTGCTACACCTTAGCCCTTGAAGGCTTTATTGGATAACATATGTTACATGACAATCCTTTCTACCACATTCATGGAAACATATCTATCGTAAAGCTAATTTTGTCGCAAATACAACTACAAAATATAAAACACCATGGTTGGTTCTTATTTGTAGAATAAAAGTATTTATAAATACTATAAGTGTTTTACTTGACTCCTTCACATAATTTTACATGATTGATTCTTTATACTGCTATTTTAACGTCCTGGTGTTAAATAAGTCCTTAAATTGTCATCCCTAGTCTAGGTTACCTGATGCCCGGGCCCTCAATAGATCGCCCCTAATAATCCATATTTTTCTATCGTAAGGATGTAGCTATTTGAGAAAAATAATCAAGGAATCTTACGTGCAGGCGTAAAACCCCCAATGAATATATATTTCTTTGAAGGATCGGTGTTTTGTTTTTTCATTGCAAAAAAACATGTAAGCCAAAACTGGTGTAGCTATCCAAATACGTGTGAGATAAGGAGAGAAGATGTTCTAGGGTTTAGTGTGTTGTGGGTTTAAGTGAGTGGATAAAGTTGGATTAATTAGTTTGTTCTTTAGCTTAGGTTAATTAGGTCCCTTTGGTTTGTTCGTCAACAGATGGATTTTTCATTAAAAAAACTAAGCAAAAATAGGTTAGAATGCAATTATAATGTCAATTAGCCTTCCAATTATATCTCTGTTTCCCTCCCCCCTCGCTCTTGACACTTTCTTTTTGAAGAAATTTTTCAGTGTGTCGGGAATATGACACGGTGCACAAAGTGTTAGACAATTAGTTGAAAAAACTTTCTTTTCAAGTTTTCAACTAATTGTATTATTACATTTAGGGGGTGTTTGTTGCGCTGAACTATCTCGGACTGGACTAGCTTCAAGGACTAAGCTGGACTGGCTTAGACTAGACTAAGCTGGACTAACTTAGTGAAGCGTTTGGTGCAGTGTTGGACTAAGAAGCGGATAATAACAAATTCTAATATTATATATTTAATATATAAATTATTAATATTTTATTATAATCTCGGTGACCGGAGATGACGAGGAGTCTATCGGGAGTGGTTGTTGAGCATGACGAGGACGAGAGAGGATAGTCTTAGCTAGTCCCATGGTTATTGGGGGGTCTCGCTAAGACCTCTTAGTGAAGGGTTTTGTCCATGCTAGTCCCCTTTAGTCTCATTAATGTTAGTCCCAGCATGAAACAAACACAGTATTGGACTAACAGCTAGTCCAGTCCAGTCCAGTCCCATTTAGTGAGGGCAAACAAACGCCCCCTTAGTGTAACGAGCTGTATTTCTGCACACTAAAAGATCTCTCCTATTTTGCACCACACAGAAAAGAAAAAATCATTGTACCTACACGTGTTCAGCACAACATGAATATGAGATAATCCCAACAAAACGCACATTAAAGTTTTGTACTTTTTTTTTTTTTTTGATGAATTTTAATTGTCGGTTTCATTCCACGCTTTATAATTTTTTCTAATGAATTTTAATTGTCGGTTTCATTGTTTTGTAAGTAAAGTTATAATTAGCTAATGCTCCATGGTTTCCCCCACCCACCCACACACAGAGGCTTTATAATATAATGTACTTACACAACATCTATAAATAAACAATATCGTATTTAAAAACTCTCGAATTTTTCCATCATTTAATTTAGGGAACTTTAATGAAAAGTACGCGGTACTGTTCACTTTAACGAAAAACCACATTTCTACACTAAAAAATCAATCCTGTTACTATTCATTTTACCTTTTATTTTGTCCTTATCATTAAAACTCAAAGTTTTCAAGCCCTTTTCATTAGTTTTCCTTTTAATTTATTGTACGAGTAAGCATTATTTGTATAAAACTTTGGCGAATAATATACGTAGTATAGAGACTAAATCATTCACAAACACATATGGATCCATGTATATACGTTGAAAATGAATGCGGTTTGGAGTATTTCTAGTGCATGTAGCTAGTGTTCAGGGAGCTAGCCGGCCTTGCGGACAACCTTTACCATCATAGCAAACGCATTTGAAAAGTAAGCAGGCTCCGGCGGTCGCACCTTCCCGTTCTGTGCAAGCCTTGTTGCAATTTGGACTCCACAAGCATGAACCCTGCCATGTGCTACTATAAGACCAATCACGGCATCCTATAAGCTCGCTATCTGCATTGTGCAAGAAACATATACAATCATAAGTAAAAGATCGAAAATGAGACATATATTTGCTATTTATCAGTACACTTTGAAAGTGAGACATATCAATTATGTCTTCCACCCGTACTATAACAAGGGGAATTACACACCATATGGAAAGTGGTGTTTCTAATACACGTAAAAACTTGTCTATTTTTACCTGCAACTGCAAAGACGATGAACAAAACAAAAAGCACAGAAAGGGAGATTGATTTTGAGGTTTTAGCCATCTTCTTCCTCAACTTTTCAATTAGTCATTAAAATTACAGTTGCACGGCACAACTTGTTTGAGTTTTAGGTGCTGTATATATATGCTTCACTTGGAATTGGGGGATCAGTTAGAGCATCCGTAGAAATATTGAGGTCCACTCGTTCCACCGTGTGGGCAGGTAAGCAAACCTATTGTGCACCTTATTTAGGTACAAACAAACATGTACAATTCGATAGAAACAACAACTACCACAGAAATATTGCCAAACAACATTTCTTTTGTAGGTTACAGTTTGATGTTTGAGTTGTTTGTTATGCAGATGCAGGTATCCAATTTGCACAAGGTACGTTCTCAAATGGTTAAGTCTTTACCATTTTGGATATCGCGATATCTTGGAGGTCTACGATATAGTCTTGGTTGCGAAATATTCAAATCATTTCAAGACTCACCACACGAAACAGGGTTCAGAGCAATTGTTAAGCATATTCGAAGTACATGATGTTTTCATCCATCGTTGAGTCCCAATGATGATTTGGGAAGACAACATCTCATGTATCGATCAGACCAAGATATGATACATCAATGAAGTCAACGCCAAGACATATTGCGTCTACATCACATCAGCAACCCATCAGGAAATTAAAGCAATCTGATTCCAAACACTCTTGCCGACCTCTTCACGATGTCATTGCCGAAGGCTACCTTCCAGAAGCTTGTCCGAGGAATTGGTACGCATAACTATTTATTTGCGATGCTTGCGATTCTCATTTGGAAGTTTTGTCAAACTCAATGGAGTATTCAGAAGTATACTCATTTGATCTTAATGTACTCTTTTCCTACGATTATAAGCATTTTTCCCACTGGGTTTTTGTTACCTAACTAGATTTTAACGAGACACCCATCCTGGGATGGTCATACCTTTGTGAGCATTGTGCTTTCATCTAGATGGCGTATAGTTTTGACTTAGTACAATAGTTTTAACTTAATACAAACTTCTCACGTTTTTCCTTAGTCCATGGGTTTTTCTCCTATACTGAGTTTTACCATAGTGAGGTTTTGAGAGTTTTACATTTTTATGCATTCTCTCGTTAATTTGAGACTTACATTCGCTAATTGAGTCGACAACTTCATCAACTGAACTTAGTTCATCGTTGAAGACGTGATGCACCATTTACTTAGTAATATATACACGCTCAAGGGAGAGTGTTGCAGTCTTAATTTAGTTAGGAATGTGATTATGTAAATCCTAGTCGATCCTTATGGGATTCTACCATATGTTTTGGATAGTATCATGTTTAAGTTATAATATCTACTGGATAAGGAATTTACCTTCTTACTACTATAATAAATGCTCAGTGGGAATGAGAAATCATACCTCTGAATTTTCCCAATTCTCTCTATGCTTGCCACACCTCTCTCAATCTCTCTATAACTCGTCAGATAATTAGGGCCTACAACAATAGATTATATATACATATATATATATATATATATATATTGTAATATATGATATTTTGACTCATTCATATAACGTTGCATGATTGGTTTTTAATATAAGAAAACTAATGAAAATGACTCGAAAACTTTGAGTTTTAACAATAAGGACAAAATAAAGGGTAAAATGAATAGTACTATGATTGACTTTTTAGTATAAAAATATGATTTTTCGTTAAAATAAACGGTACTGAAAATTTTTCGTTAAAATTCTATTTTTATATCGCAATTTTAACGTTCTTGTTTTCTATAAGTCCTTGTATTGTTATCCCTAGTCTTGGTTCCCTTGATGCCCGTGCCCATAATAGATCGCCCCTAATAATCAATATCTTTTTATAGTAAGGATGTACCTACTGAGAATATATTTGTTTGAAGGATCGATGTTTTGTTTCTTCTTTGCAAAAAACATGTAAGCCAAAACTGGTGTAGGTATCTAAATATGTGTGAGATAAGGAGAGTAGATGTTCTAGGATTTAGTGTGTTGTGGGTTTAAGTAGGTGGGTAAAGTGAGAATAATTAGTTTGTTCTTTAGCTTAGGTTAATTAGGTCATTTTCCATTAACAACCTAAGTGCAAAAATAGGTTAGAGTGCAATTATAATGTCAATTAGCCTTCCAATTATATCTCTGTTTCCCTCCCCCCGGCTCTTGACACTCTATTTTTGGCGAAATTTTTCAATGGGTTGGGAACACGACTCGTGTACAAAGTGTTATAGTATAATTAGTTGAAAAAACTTTCTTTTCAAGTTTCCAACCAATTATATTATTATATTTGGCGTATTGAGCCGTATTCCCAACACACGAAAAATCTCTCTTATTTTGCACCACATGGGGAAGAAAAAATCATTATGTCTACTCGTGTTCAGTACAACATGAAAGTGAGATAATCCCAACAAAATGCACATTGTACTTTTTTTTCTTCTAATGAATTTTAATCGTCGGATTCATTGTTTAGTAAGTTATAATTAGCTAATGCACCATGGTTCCCCCCTCCCTCCCCAAACCCACAGAGGCTTTATAATATAATATAATGTACTTGCACAAAATCTATAAATATACGAGTAAGCGTTATTTGTTTGAAACATTGACGAATAATATACATAGTACAGATACTAAATCATTCACAAACACATATGGATCCATGTATACGTACAATGTATGTACATATACGTTGAAAATGAATGCAGTTTTGGAGTATTCCTACTGCATGTAGCTAGTGTTGAGGGAGGCGGCCTTGCGGACAACCTTTACCATCATAGCAAACGCATTTGAAAAGTAAGCAGGCTCCAGCAGTCGCACCTTCCCGTTCTGTGCATGCTTTGTTGCAGTTTGGACTCCACAAGCATGAACCCTGCCATGTGCTACTATAAGACCAATCACGGCATCCTATAAGCTCGCTATCTGCATTGTGCAAGAAACATATACAGTCATAAGTAAAAGATCGAAGTAAAAAAAGAAAAGAAGTCAATCGATGACCTTTTTCATTACAAGAGATTTTTCGGTGTCCACACAATGTTATTGTTCCACTTAAATTATAACACGTGTATTTGCTATTTATCAATACACTTTGAAAGTGAGACATATCAACTATGTCTTCCATGCGTACTATAATAGTAGGAATTACACACCATATGGCAAGTGATGTTTCCGATACACGTAAAAACTTGTCTATTCTTACCTGCAACTGCAAAGATGATGAACAAAACAAAGAGCACAGAAAAACAGAATTTTTTTGAGGTTTTAGCCATCTTCTTCCTCAGCTTTTCAATTAGTAATTGCATGGCACTACTTGTTCGAGTTTTAGATGCGAATATATATGCTTGACTTGCAAAGTGGGGATCAGTTAGGGCATCTGTAGAAATATTGAGGTCCACTCGTTCCACAGTGCGGCAGGCAAGCAAACCTTATGTGCACCATATTTAGGTACAAATAACAACATGTACAATTGGATAGAAACAACAACTACAACAGAAACATTGCTAAAACACAAATCTTCTCCTCTCATCATGCTTATGCAGGTAAGTTCGTTGAGTCTATGTGTCCAGAGCCGAAGGACATTTAGATCCGAACTATTCATTTTAAATCCTGCTTTCTTCATTAGTCCATTACATTGGCCCAACTAACACATATCAAGGGTCTGAATCTCTTTTTTTTTAACGACTCGGATCTCAGGACACAAAGATTAGGAGAGAATCGGTTCAATTTCAAGAGCTCTGGCCATGTCTTTGGTCGTGTTGGGTTCTAAGGACATAGTTCAAGCTCATGATTTCCATGGCACTTTGTAACAGATCATGTATATCAATTTTTGGGCAGTGTAGGCTTGAATGGGCTAGGGTTAAACCGTTGCCGGGAACTTGGGCTGGGCTGCTTGTGGTTGTGAGAGAGGAAACTCTTCTTGCGAGACTTTTGCATGCAAAAAAATTTGGCACTTGTTTCATTACAGTTGAAACTTATTCGGCTTTGTGCCTCATTTTCACAAGATTACAAGAAGTTGAATCATGAAAAGTTGAAAACTCGTATAAAATACGTTGACGTGCTATAGCCAATGTATTTTTTCTAGAAGTTTATCATTTACTCCGCTGCTCCTTTTTGTTTTTTAGTTTCAAGACTCGGGGCCACATATTTGGAATTTTTAGATCTCTCTTATCTCTTAATATATTTGTTTAGACTTTTACAAGTAACGTGGGTTAAGGCGTGATGGTTGGGATAGGTGGTTTCATTGGTGTTAAATTATCGACGTATTTTAGTAGTGGAATAATAAGCACTACTGCATCAGCATGCATCAGGCCGGCAGATAATTGCAACTTCAAAGCCGCGGGGGTGGAGATGATGCCCATGCCCAGCTGGACCTCTCTCTCTCTCTCTCTCCCTCCCTCCCTCCCCATATATGATATATATCCCGCTTGCATTAGATTGAATTTGCATGCATGCATGTGAGCCAAATTATATAAAGGGGGTGGGGTGGACGATAGGTGAATGCATAAAGGGAAAAACAAATAAATGGCGAAAAAGTAGAAGGGAGGGAAGAACCAGGATCTTGTTGGTCATTTATTATAGGTTAATAGAATGGGAGGTTTTGAAGGCAGCAGTTGAGATAGCTACCTAAAACATAAAGCATAAATCAAATACATGTTAATCTTGTGAGGTGTTACAGGATTTTAGTTTTTTTATTGCAGTCGATGTTATTACCCTAAGTTAAATATATTAAAGGACAAGTCATTTAGTACCACGGTCCAGTGATAGTCCTCTTTCCTTGTAAGTGAGAAGTTTTAGGTTCGATTTTTGTCAAAGGCGAATTAAATCACATTATTGCTAGCCCATTGTGGGGCTTAGCCCACCCCCTCCTTCTTAGTGTAGATAATATCGACTAGACCAAAACATGATACATAACGAAGTCAACGCCAAGACATATTGCGTCCACATCACATCAGTAAAGCGACATGAGATTGAAGTCAAGCAATCTAATTCCAGACAATCTTGCTGACTTCTTCACGACATCATTGCCGAAGTCTACTTTCCCCAGAAGCTTGTCCAAGGAATTGGTACGCGTAACTATTAGTTTGCGATGCTTG